ATTCTTTCTTAGCCTTGCCTTTATGCCTTTAATCTAGTTTGGGATACTTTTATTATAATTCAGTTATGCTTATCGAGTAAGTAGTCTGATATTCAGATCTGTTGCTCAGATGAAAGGTCCAAATGGAAGAGTTAATTAGAAAATGATCAGTATGTAGGTGGTATTTTAAGATCATGAGATGGAGTAGAATCACCAGGAAAATAATTTGTTAGAAGAAAAAAGGCCCAAGATCTAGGTGTGAGGCTTCTGACAAGGAGAATCAGAGAGAGAAGGAGGAGCCAGCAAAGGTGAGAGAGGACAGTTGCTGAGGGAAGAGAAAGCATGCTTCAGAAAGGAAGGAATTATGTCAGCTCTGCTAAGAGGATCAAAGATGTCCATTGTGTTGCCCACATAGAGGTCATCAATGACCTCAGCAGGCATGGTTTTGGTTGAGTAATGGCAGTGGGTAGAGAAGTGAATGACAGAGGGAGAAGAGAAGACAACCAATAAACAAGAGGTAAATTAGGTATTAGCTGGAGGATGATGTAGGCTCCAGATTTCTTTTTAAATCTACACCCGAGGGATCCCTGGGTGGCGCAGCGGTTTGGCACCTGCCTTTGGCCCAGGGCGCAATCCTGGAGACCCGGGATCGAGTCCCACATCGGGCTCCCGGTGCATGGAGCCTGCTTCTCCCTCTGCCTGTGTCTCTGCCTCTCTCTTTCTCTCTCTCTGTGTGTGACTATCATAAATAAATAAAAAAGTAAATAATTAAAAATAAATAAATAAATCTACACCCGATGTGGGGCTCAAACTCACAACCCCAAGATCAAGCATCACATGCTCTATGGACTGGGACAGTTAGGTGCCATTTTTTTTTATTTTTATTTTTTATTTTTTTTTAGTTGAAGAGAGTTAAGCATGTTTAAATGCCCATCAGAAGGATCCAGTGGAAAGGAAATACTGTCCAACAAGTCATCGGTATTACTGGGGACATTGAGTGGATTAAATTGGCATGTTGGAAGGAGAAAACCCCAAAAATGAGAAGACTGGATATGTTGATTCAGATGCTATTATGCCTGACCCTGAAAGCCCAGGGAAGAAGTTTGACATTGATGCAGCAGACGGGAATGCTTACAGGTTCTCTAACAGAACAGTGAGCAAGATATTTAAGGGATATTGGTCCATTATGTCTCCAAGCTGGGAGAGACTAGAATCAGGAAGACCTGTGAGCACAGTTCAGAAATTTAGACAGCACAGTCTTAAGACCTTGGACTGGATCCATACCAAAGGAAAACAAAGGAAAAATATAGAAACATTCCCCAAAACAGCAGGTTTTAGTGACTGACTGGTTGGTTACCAAAAGAGAAAAGGGGGGAGGATGTTTTAAATATGTTTTTGAGGTTCCTCACCTGGGGGAATCTGAAACATGATTAATGCTTCCTCCAAACATGGATAAGGAGAATAAAGGGAAGAAGGACCATGTGAGGTTGAGAGGGATGGAGATTGAGGGGAAAAATTAAATTTGGCAATAAATATGGTATTGGAACTTTTCAAGAAAAAATTTGTGAAAAATGATAGTAAAAAAATATCCTAGTGGTTTAGATTCATAGAGACCGAAGGAGTAAGTTCTCATATGTTTCGGAGGTGAGACAGCAGACATGGTGGACTTTCATTTCCATCTCTTCCACCAAACGGGTCCTCAGTGAACTATAGGAGAAAATGAAAGATCATTCATTTCAGAATGTCATCATTTCCTTCGTCAGCGCATGGTAGGGAGAAGACCTAGCAAAGAACATCCTATGTGTATCATGTTCTCAGAGTGAGACAAGGAAATTCAAAAGGGATTGAGAGGGGTGCCTGGGTGCCTCGGTGGTTGAGTGTGTCTGCCTTTGGCCCAGGCTGTGATCCCGGGGTCCTGGGATGGAGTCCCACATTAGACTCCCCACAGGGAGCCTATTTCTCCTCCTGCCTATGTCTCTGCTTCTTTCTCTGTGTCTCTCATGAATAAATAAATAAATCTTAAAATAAAATAAAAAGGGACTGAGAATACTTTATTTTCAGCTCATGAGAATTGCTGCTTAAGACAGTCATCTGATCTATGGTTTAAATGGTCGTGCTATCATTTTAAACATGCTTTTTATTTTCCAAAAAGATTTATTTTTCCTACCCCCTTACTTCTTTGTATATTGTTATGATGGATTTCTCCTTTTGCCTTCTGTTTTTTTTTTTTAATTTATTACATAAAGGTAACACTGTGAAAGAAACAGGAAAATTACAGTTCAACCAGCTTAATACTCAGCTGTTGTCAGTATTCCTTATACCTTTCTAGCATGTGTCTCTATGAATACAGAGTTTGATGGGCCTGGGATCGAGCACAATAGAATATCTCATTTGGCATTTTAAAATGTAACATATCAAACATGTTTTTTTTTTTTTTGAAATCATATTAGTCTTACCAATTGTGATTTGGAGCTTGCTTTTTTAAAAAAATATTTTATTTATTTATTCATGAGAGACACACAGAGAGAGAGAGAGAGAGAGGCAGAGACACAGGGAGAGGAAGAAGCAGGCTCCATGCAGGGAGCCTGATGCAGGACTAGATCCCGGGACTCCAGGATCATGCCCTGGGCCAAAGGCAGGCGCTAAACTGCTGAGCCACCCAGGGATCTGCACCCCCCTTTTTTTTTTAAGATTTCATCTATCCATTCATGAGAGACAGAGAGAGAGACAGAGACATAGAGGAGAAGCAGGCTTCCTGTGGGGAGCCTGATTCAGGACTCGATCCCATGACCCTGGGATGACAACCTGAGCCAAAAGTAGACACTTAACCACTGAGCCACCCAGGTGCTTTTATTTTAACTTCATGCAGTTAGACAGCCAGCCTTGGTAGGAATAAGTGATGGTCTGTTGTGAAGATGGGGAAAAGACCGAAGAAGTAAGAGTGCCAGCCGAGCTGTTCCCGTATCATCGGCCCAGGCTTCTTGCTATCTCTGCGTCACCCTTGCCATGGTGTATGTGTCAGGGGGTGTGCCCTGTTTTAGAGTTCCAGGATGTGTGGTTCAGCAGTGAGGATTCTTAATTTACAGTACTTGAGGTGGATTCTGAGGAGTGGAACCTTCTAACTGTCACACTATAAGCTATAGGACTGCCAGCACTGCACTCCTGCCCACCCTGCCCGTGACAAGGGGTACTTGGGCTACAGACCCACACGGTTGAGGGGTGAGCAGCCACACACCAACCTTAGTTTGGTCTGACAGCGAATGTTAGCTACCCTGTAAACAAAGCCTCTGGTAATTACGGTTTTGGAAATGATGCATACAAGAGATGGAAAGAACCTTTTAAATAAAAAGAACTTATGAAAACAATAATAGTAGTGACTTTAGAACGGATGTAGTAACAAATACAGCTGGATTGTGTATTTCATAATACGCAGCTGGATGAATTTCACAAATGTATTTTGACATGAAAAAAAATTCCTAGTAGTTTAGGTAAGGTGCAAGTCCTAACGTCTACGTGGAGAATAGAAGTAAGATTTGGCAGCAGAAGGGAGGAGTTCACCTTCGGCTGGAAATGATGACAGAGTTGATCTGCTCGTCTGTTTGAGCTTTGCCCATCCTCGGAACCAGCAAATAGTTGAAAAGGTACCTGAGTTTCAGTGGCTGTAAAATGGCCAGCAGCTCAGTGATAATCAGTGTTGGACTCTCCCGCCCGCCTGCTCTGACAGTGGTTACAGCAAAACTTGAGTTGCTCTTCCGTTTTCATGAGGGCCCTCGCCAGGATTACTTCACTCTAGAGAACCAGTGTTACTAAAACATTTTATTGCTTAGCGACTGCAATCTTCATTTTACAAGAATAATTTAAAAAATCTTTTCTTCACTGAGGGTTTTCTTCATTAAGCAGGATGCAAGCCAGGTACCTAAAAGTACTAAGTGTGTATCATAGTACTTTAAGCTTTTCAATAACTTAGTTTGAAAAGTCACTTCAAAAACCATAGTTTTTCTGTATATTAGTATGCTAGCTTAACCCTTTTTTATTTTTATTTTTTTAAATTTTATTTATTTATTCATGAGAGACACACAGAGAGAGGCAGAGACACAGGCAGAGGGAGAACAAGAGGTTGTGAGGACAAGAGGTTGTGAGGACAAGAGGTTGCAGCCATTTCCAGATTTCTATGATCCCTTACTTATGTGTGTTGGGCTGGCTGAGAGACAGGGGCACCCAAAATGGTGGACATCTCAAATTGGGTCAGAATGGCTGATCTTCCCGCCAAAGCAGTCATGACCACCACGTCATCTCTAGTAAATCGAAGCTTAGGCAGGAAACTGAAACTTTCCATCCAGGACTTTCCAGCCAGAGACCACCTCCCCATCATCTGTACTATCCCCACCCCCAGCCAATCACCTAGGGACACAGTGTTCCCTTGCCTAATTTGGCAAGGGACCCACCCAGATCCAGACCCGGAACCAATAAGGCTTAAAAACCCCCACACTCCCCAACCCCGGTCCGACTTCCCTGACTCAGGCCACCTCTCCGAGTCATGGAACCTCGCCCAGGAGCGCTCCCCATTAAAGCATTTTTGAACCTACTGCCTGGCTCTGCTGTTTTTGTTTTTGTTTTTGTTTTTTTTTAATTTCTCCGTCGTTCATTTTGGAAAAGAAACTAACAATATGTGATAATCTTCTAGAGTCTTACTCAGAAAACCTCTTCTGCTGTTCTGTTGAATTCACTTGAGGGGTGTGCCCATGCCTTGAATCAGCAACTATGGCTGGGATGCGATTATGTGGAGGAGCTCGGGCTTGGTGTCAGCTTCCCCCAAAGTAAAGGGCTGTGGGAGGAGGCACAGAAACTGATCAGACCCAAGTAGTTGTCTAGAGCAGGGCCTGGTTGGTGGGGGGGCATGAATAAAGGGCAAGAACCACCTTCTTCACTATCCCAGGTGAGGGGAACCCAGGGAAGTCACCTGGGTTTCATTTATAAAAGTACTTGTATTGTTTCATCGGTTTCACTCCTTCCGTCCTTAGGGGCTGTGACAACCACCAAACGGACAGGCATTCCTGCTCCTCGAGAACTGTCAGTAACTGTCTCAAGGGAGAGAACTGTGCCACGTGGTCCCTCCAACCCCAGGAAGTCGGTGTCCAGTCCAACTTCTTCTAGCACACCCACCCCTACTAAGCACCTGAGGACCGTTTCCACAAGACCCAAGCAAGAGAATGAAGTTGGGGAAAAGGCCGTGCTGGAGTCCCAAGTTCGGGAACTTTTGGCAGAAGCCAAAGCGAAAGATAGTGAAATTAACAAGCTTCGAAGTGAACTGAAGAAATGCAAGGAGAGGAGGACTCCAAGCACCGAAGGAGCTGACATGTCAGACTCAAATCTAGATGGAACGTCTATCTTGCCAAGTGATTCAGAACCTTTGGTAAGAGCTCTTGAGGAGAAAAACAAGAATTTTCAGAAAGAGCTTGCAGATCTAGAGGAGGAAAACCGGGCCTTGAGGGAGAAACTGACTTATCTGGAGCATTCCCCAAATTCAGATGGAGGCACAAGCCCCACTGGTGAGAGCAGCTGCCCAACGTCCATGACTCAGGAATCCAGCTTTGGAAGTCCACCTGGAAATCAGTTGTCAGGCGAAATCGATGAGTACAGGAGCAACATACATGAACACGCGTTAAGACCGTCGGGTTCTTCAAGCAGCGATGTTACCAAAGCTTCTTTGTCCCCAGATGCCTCTGATTTTGAGCACATCACAGCTGACACCCCCTCCCGACCCCTGTCTTCCACCAGCAACCCCTTTAAGAGCTCCAAGTGTTCCACCACTGGCAGCTCCCCCAACAACGTGAGCGAACTGTCCCTGGCTTCCCTCACAGAGAAGATACAAAAGATGGAGGAGAACCACCACAGCACAGCAGAGGAGCTGCAGGCCACTTTGCAAGAACTATCAGACCAGCAACAAATGGTGCAGGAACTGACAGCCGAAAATGAGAAACTGGTAGATGAGAAGACTCTTTTAGAAACTTCCTTTCATCAGCATCGAGAGAGGGCCGAGCAGCTCAGTCAGGAGAATGAGAAGCTCCTGAATCTTTTGCAAGAGCGAGTCAAGAATGAAGAACCCGATGTCCAAGAAGGGAAAATCCTTGAACTGGAGCAGAAATGTGCAGAAATTCTCGACCAGGGCCGCTTCGAAAGAGAGAAGCTGCTCAACATCCAGCAGCAGCTGACCTGTAGCTTACGGAAAGTGGAGGAAGAAAACCAAGGAGCTTTAGAAATGATCAAACACCTGAAGGAAGAAAACGAAAAACTGAATGGGTTTCTGGAACTGGAACGGCGAAATAACGGCGCAATGGTCAAAACTCTGGAAGAGTGTAAAGCTACGTTGGAGGGGCTGCGGATTGAAAACGGGTCGTTAAAGGCTCATTTGGAGAATGAGAAGCAGAAAGCTATGGAGACCAGTCCCATGGCGCAAACGGCAGAAGGTCGTGAAGTTCAAGAAATGTTAAGAGTCGCTCGAGCTGAGAAAGATCAGCTGGAACTCTCTTGTGCTGAGCTCAAGCAAGAATTAGTAAAGGCACATGCTGAAATTAAACATGTTTCGAGCCTCCTGGCCAAGGTAAGGAGATACCTCTGTACCAGTGTTTGCTCATCCTTCGTAGTATTGCCCTCCTTGACCTTGAGATTCACAGAGCACAGAGATTCTCTTTGCTCAATTTCATGCATGAATCCAGCATTCCAGCTTGAAGATCTGCTCCATTCCAGGCAGACTGGGGACACAAAAACAAAACACCCCAATCTCTGACTACAGGCAGTACACAGTGTAGTGGGGATGTGGTGAATCAAATGCGTAAGTACGATGCAGCGATAAAGAATATCACAGAGGACAGCTCAGGGTCCAGTGCCAGGGAGGAACACCTAGAAAAATACAGGAGAAAGGAAGATAATATAGGAGGGCTTCTTGAAAGAGGTGACAAATAAGCTGAGTCTTACTGGCTCATAATGAGTTATCCAGGTCTATCAGTTAGCATGCTTTGGGCTGCTAGTAACAGAGAATTAAAATCATCCCTAATTTCCCTACCAACTAATAATATAGTCACTATTTTGGTGTTTTCTTTCAGATTTGTGTGTGTGTGTATGTGTGTGTGTGTGTGTGTGTGTGTGTTCCACAAGTTAAAGAAATTTTTTTAGGGATGCCTGGTTGGGAGTCTGACTCTTGATTTCAGCTCAGGTCATGGTCTCAGGGTCGTGGGACAGAGCCCTGTATCCAGCTCCCCACTCAGTGGGGAGTCTGTTGGGGATTCTCTCTACCTTTTCTTCTGCCCCTCCTCCCCACCTTGTGCCTTGTGTGCTCTCCCTCCCTCCCTCTCTCTCTCTCTCCTTCAAATAAATAAATGAATCTTTAAAAAAACTTTTTAGATTCATCTTGTACATACTCTTTTAATTTAATATTTTCTTTTTCTTTTTTTGTTTTGTTTTGTTTTGTATTTTTTGTTTTTGAATTTAATATTTTCGAGCATATTCTCATCGTTATTCTTTGAAACATGATTTTAAGGCCAGCCGTTATTCTATTATATAAATATTTCATATGTACTCTACTGGTCACTTGTTTGTTGAACATTTATGTTCTTTTCCAGTCATTCGATATTGTAAATACTTTTTTTTTTATATCTCTCTGATTATTTCCTTAGGAAAAATTCCTAAACATTGGCTTACCGTGTCAGAGTATGACCATTTTAAAGACACTCAATACATTCATCCAATTTGCCCCCCAGAAATTTACTGGTTTGTTCCCACCAACAGATTCAGGAGCTTCTCTGTTTCCCTGAACCCTTGCCAGTGCATGGTATTGAGTTGCTAGGTCATTCAAATCTGGTCTTCATTGCTTTTTTTTCCTCCCCTCTTCACTGGGAAAGATCTCCAACCCACAATCACATAGATGATCACTATTTCATTTTTTAAAAATAATCCTTTAATCAGTCTGGAATTTTGTTACATGTTGAAGATTGCTGGTAATTATATTCTGCTAGCTCACAGAGCAGTGCTGGAGAGGTATAGACAGGTGGCTTCCTACTTCCTGTTTCCTCCAAGTTCTGGATCTGTGATGTTGGGCTCTCCTGGTGAGAGAGGTTGAAGCCCCTTCCCACCTTAGTGCAGGGTTGTCACTGTTGGTTTGTTTTTTTTAAAGATTTATTTATTTCTATATTTTTTGGGAGAGAGAGTGAGAGCAAGTGCAAGTGCAAGAGGAGGGGCAGAGGGAGAGGGAGATAATCTCAAACAGATTCCTTGCTGAGTACAGAGCCTGATGCAGGGCTCAGTCCTACAACCCTGAGATCATGACCTGAGCCAAAATTAAGAGTCAGATACTCAACCAACTGAGCTACCCAGGCGCCCCGGGCTTGTCACTGTTTTAAGAAACAAGTTGTGCCATGAGCTCATAGGGGGATTTTTCTCTCCACTTCATCTGCCTTAAGATTAGTCTGTTGCAACTTGATTCTGGCATCGGGCTGTCTGACGATCTGAGTGGTAGGCAGTGTTAGGAGGGTTTTTTGTTTGTTTTTGTTTTTTATCATTGTTGGAGTTCTAAATTTACAGCATTTTATTGAAAGTGTGGAAGCAGTCCCATAGAAGGTACTAGCCAGGTGCCCATTTGAAATTTAAGTTGATAATTGTAGCTTTACATTAAGTTTTTTTTAAACATGCCATACATTTTTTTTTTATAGATTTTACTTATTTATTCATGAGAGATAGAGAGAGGCAGAGACACAGGCAGAGGGAGAAGCAGGCTCCATGCAGGGAACCCAACGTGGGACTTGATCCCGGGTCTCCAGGATGAAGCCCTGGGCTGAAGGCAGCGCTAAACCACTGAGCCACCCAGTTTGCCCTACATTAAGTTTAATGTCTATGGAATTGGTTGCCCTCCATCACTCTGTTGCAAAAAGCTTGATCTCTCAGGTGACCACCTTGAAATCCTCCCTCAGTCCTTCATCTCTTTGTATTTTGGTTGACATCCCATTAAGTGTATGTATCACCAAGAAATAATTTAGTTATCTCAAGATAGTAGCTTAACTTTTTCTGATCAGGAAAAAATATATTCATTACGAAAGAATGAATACAGAAATATATAAAGAAGAAAATAATATTACCTTTAATCCCACCACTTGGAGAAAAAACACTGCTAGCATTTTGCTGTGTGTCTTTTCAGATGTTTTCCCAGTTTATGCATGTTTGCACATGTGTACAAACTTGTATCAACATAATTAAAATATTCAGTCTTCTTATTCAGAATGATAGAGCATGTCACTCCACATTCCTTGAATACAGAGACCCAGCTGGAATAATCAATTCTATTAATCTATAGATAGTTAATCTATTTGATTAGTTTCTTTCTACTTTTGTCTTTATTAATCCTCTCATTCTGCTTTTACACATTTCCTTGGTTTCTTAGTTTTTTGAGTAAAATTCTGTATTTGTCATTTCTTGGTTGATAATGAAAGCATTTAAAGGTATGAATTTGCCTTTTGTTATAGCTTTAGCTATACGAAGACAATAAATTTTAGAGTTTTCTGGAACAAACTAAATCTAATTTGGAGAAAAAGGAAAAGAAAGTTTGCATTCTCTGTGGAGTGGAAGATACAGCATATATGTTTTAAATCAAGCTGTTACTTATATTATTCATATATTCCATATTTTTATATGTCTTTCTGATTAGAATGATCAGAAATTTGTCAGTAGGATGAAAGAGGCTCTAGCTGGTATTCTGAGGTAAGACTATGTGAAGCACCATGTCACATAAAGTTTCTTTTATATGTATCAAAGTCCTAGGTGTATGATTTTGTGTTTTTTTTCTAAAGATATTATTTATTTATCTGAGAGACAGAACATGAGCTGTGGGGGAGGCACACAGGGAGAAGGAGAAGCAGATTCCCCGCTGAGTGGGGACCCCGACGTAGGCTTGATTCTGTGACCCCAGGATCATGACCCAAGCCAAAGGCAGATGCCTAACCAACAGAGCCACCCAGGTACCCCTAATTTTGTGCTGTCTTAGGTGTATAGGGGTACTGATTTGTAATTACAGTGGAGTCATAACCTGTACTAACCTTCCTATCTTCTGTGTTATCTTCAAAAAGGTAAAACCCAGACTTTCTAGGCTGACTGGAAGCTAATTGTAGTAGTCCCAGGGCAGAGTATCAACTAATCCACCAGAAACAATGAATTCAAGTGATGAGATGTAAGGGAGTCATGCGCAAAAGGAATAGGAGTACTTTCAGCCCAAAACTATAATGAAAAGGGTGTGAAGTGCAGATTGGTGGGTGGAAAGTTTGGGGCCTCCTGACTTAGCTAATGCTTAAATCTGTGACCTTGGGCAGGCCATCTCCTGTATAGCACTGAATAGAAGCATGGTGGTGGAGGGAGCTTGGCCTTGTTCCTGATTTAAAAGGAGTGCGTATGACATTTTATCAAGGGTGCCTTGTAGGCACTTGTTGCATACGTTTTATTGAGTTATACACATATTTTGCTTGTTATTTTTTTTTAAGTTTAGAGATAGAATTTTTCTACATCTCCTGGAGATCTTATTTATCTGCTATGATCTTAGAGTAGTTTTTATGTGATTGGGATGGTTTCTCTGCTTTAACTTGTTAATGAGGTAAGTTAAACAGCAAATTTTTCTAAAGTGGTCTAGTGTTAAATTGTCCCTACATTCTTGGAGTAAATTCTAATTCTTCAGTTCTCAGTTGCCTCACTAGACATTTTTGCATAGAATTTTCACATTTAACTGCCTTAAGCAGATGTCAAGGTGAGTGTCCTGTTAATCACCAAGCAGTTTTCTTGGTGTTGAACAACATTTACCGTTGAGTATACCGTTCTGTATTCATCCACTCTTAATTCTTTGTGGAAGGTGAATAGTATGAGAAAAGAACAAAATCACCTATTTACAGAGAGGAAAAGCAATACCAAACCATCCTATGATCTGATAGATTTAGTAAGTCTATATAAGTTCCCAGTTTGGCTAAGTTACATAAGTGACTCAGATATCTTTACAAGAGCCTCTGAAAAGACTTGAAATGTACTTTGGGGGGAGGGGCCCGGAATGGATCTGTTCCTCATACAGTAAATGGAAAATTGGTAGGACATTTGCAGTCATTGTGATTATTTTGGAGGCTGCTTTTTATTTCTCTAATTTCTTTGTCTTCAGCTAGTATCTCTATTTTTGTCAGCTTCTCTGATATCCAACATAAACATTTTCCTGGCAACTTACTGTATGATTATGAAGCATGCCTCCATACAACTTTGAAGAGGGGTCTCATTACTATGAGTCTTGAAGGCTCAGCCTCCTGTAAGCCACATACATGCCTGCCCTAACTGGCAAGCAGAATGTCATTGCATAGGATTATTGTTTTTCTGGACTATAATGCAGTCCAGGTTTATGTTTTCCTGATGTTCAGATTTTCCGTTGTTTGAGATCTTAGTTTCAAGTTAGAATACTATAAGGCTTGAAACCTAGAAGTTTTAAAAGAAAATACTGATTTTTCCCCCAAAGTCAGAGCTTACAGGTGGTATCCTTAGAGATTTAGTTGTTGTTGTTTTTTAAATTTTATTTATTTATTTGACAGAGAG